CTTCCTGGCTGCTGGCCGCCATCTTGGCTGGCAGATAGTTTGCATATCGCCCTGATTAGCCAATGGGAAGGGTAGCGGTCATATGCTAATTACCATGTTTCTCTTTTATTAGATAGGATGGGCCTCCACAAATGGACTAATAGAGTTTCATTAGCTTGGATACTAAACTACTCTCGACTGCAACATGGAGAGGAAGCTCTGGCATGGCCTACTCCTGGAACCCTGGCTGGACCTTTTCCAGGACTGGTTTCTCCCAATAAACTTTGGTCCCATTAATCCTTTTTGTCTGCAACTTCATTCTTCAGTTTCGTGTACAAGAAATGGGACTTCCCGAAACAGGTTTGGCTCAGTGGATAGACGTTGGCTTGTAGGCTGAAAGGTCCCAGGTTCGATTCCGGTTAAGGGCATGTACCTGGGTTGCGGGCACATCCCCAGTAGGAGATGTGCAGGAGGCAGCTGATGGATGTTTCTCTCTCATCGATGTTTCTAACTCTCTATCTCTCTCTCTTCCTCTCTGTAAAAAATCAATAAAATATATATAAAAAAAAAAAGAAATGGGACTCAAAACACCCACATTTTTGGTTTCAGCATCAGTAATGAAAAATAACATTAAAAATATAACAGTGCTCTTATAAAAGGCTTCCAGGAAATAGAAAAATGGAATGATTTTCATATAGCCTTGTCAAATACATAACAATAAAAACTCATTAAAAACTCTTTGTGACCTGGATAAAAGAAAAACAACTTAATCTAAGTGTAATATATACACTGAATTTTGAAGAAGGACAATACAAACTAGCCATTGTGGTTTTATTTCAGAAATGCAAGATTGGTTTAATAGTTAAAAGAAATAAAGGCAGTTTACTTCATAAACATTATACAGAGAAAACATTTATCATTTCAACTGACACAAAAATAATAAAAACGTAACATCATTATAAAAATATATTAGAATAATATCAATATTATGGAATTGCTTTTATATGAGAAAGGTCTGACGAAAAAGCTTTAAAACAAATCTAATACTTAAGGATGAAATATTTAAATGTGTTCCCCAAAAATAGAGACACATACAACACTTTTAGTGTCCATACTATTTAACATTGGAAATAAAACTTCAGCCTATGAAAATAACTCAAGAAAAAAAAATTGCACCAGGGAACAAGAAATAAAGTAACTGTCTATATATACTATGCAGGACATATATTTGAAATGATAGGATTAATAGAAAAATCAATAGCAAACCTCAACTACATTTATGTTTAAAGCAGCCAAAATTACTTAAGAAATTTTAAAATAAGTATACCATTTACACAATCACAACTATAGAAGAATCATATTTCTTTGACTTCAATATAGAAAAAATTTAAACATAGAGAAATTAAAGAAAGCCTAATATATGGAGGGATAAAGCATGATATTGATTGGAAGAATCAATATTGTAAAATTACACCTTTATAAATTATTTAAAGTTTAAATGCAGACTCTAACATAACCTCAAGTGTTTTTTAACAGCTGTATTGAGGTTTAATTTACAAAGCAAAAAAATTCATCCATGTAGAGTATATATGTCAGCGATTTTTAGTATATTCAACAGAGTTTGCAACCATCACTACCAACAAAATTTAGAAGTATCCAGCCCCCAAAAGTAACAGTGCACCAATTAGCATTCGTTTGTTACCTACCTCCCTTCAACCTTTAGCAACCACTAACCTACTTTCTGCCTCTGTGGGTTGGCCTATTCTTGAAAACACATATAAAGTGACTCACACAACATAAGATCATTTAGAAATGTTGAATGCCACAAATATAACGTTGAGCGAAACACGTCAGACACTAAAAGCAATGAATATCTGCACTTTGGGATGTGTATATTATTGTCCAAACATAGTTAAAGAAAATTATTTCATTATTAGAACAAGTGATATAATTCATTTGAAGACATATGCAATCACAATATTCTTTCCATTTCATGAAAATAAAGTTACCCAACAGAATCCAAACTCAGATGTTTTAACTCTAAAGCTTATGCTTACAGCTGTATATTTTTGAATCTCCACAGCTCAAGGATGTGAGGCCATATAGGTGTAGCAGAGCACAGTCACCTTTACCAGAGAAGTCTGCTATTCTGTAATGGAGATAAATGCATTATTTTGTTGTTATTGTCTGGGGCCAATCCATGAAACAATAAATAGCATTTTCCATGTAACTGCAATCACAGAACATTTTGAAAATGGGTAATGATATTTTTCATGGAATATTTGTCAGAGTTGATTATTAGGAAAATTAGACAGTCATTCTTTACTATTTATATCAACCTTTTATCAACTTTGACTATCATTCTTCAGTTTATAATTTAACTTAAACAAAAACATCAACAATACTCCAGAATTTTTTTTTTTAATTTTTCTTTTTATATAGCATTATTTTTTTTAAAAAAAAACTTACTTTAGTTTGAAAGGTGAACCATTTATCAACATCCAAGGATGATCACTGCTGGTACGAAAAACTCCAATCCATGATGGAGGTAATATGGATCTCAGAAATTCCTACCCCAAAATAAAGAATTTTTATTTAAATAATCATCATGAAAGATTATTTTTGTAAAGCAAGTAGTGTATTCTTTCAAAAGATCCTTCATTTTGAGAACAAAATAAGATTGTTGGATCCTAATCTAACACTAAAGATATATTATGACTTTTTATTAAAGTTATATTAAAATCACTTTTCATATTTTCAAAAACTTTCAGAAATGTTTGTACATTTGATTTAAAATTAACTCAAATATTTATGTTTAATGGCCTTATTCTTCTTCTTAATTTAATAAGGAAAAATCTCATTCATGTAATTTAGTAGTTACCCATGTTGACAAAACTAACATAATAAGGCTTAAAATAAGTTTCCAAATACTTAAAATATTTGATACCATGACTAAATCAATGTCAATTTCTACTATTTCTCAGATAGCAGGTTTTTTAAAAGGGGGATTGTAATTAAGAAAATAAATGACATGAAAGGAAAACAACAACAACAACAACAAACAAACAAACATTCTCTGTATCTCACAACATTCTTTAACCAGATAAAGTCCAAATTGACCTGTTTCTGTGTTGGTAGAATCCAGTGGCCAAGGTGTCAGAGACTCATTTTCCTGCTAATTAGAACTCTAAATTCAGGAACTAATTAATGAAAGACACAAGTAAAGGAGAACTCTGAAAGGTGGAATGAGAAAGAGTAAAAGGTTTGGTATTCCAGCAGAGTGGCAGGGTATCTTATATCCCTCCCAACAGAAGAAAGCAACTTAGGCCTGACTGTTTCCAATGCCCAACCTAGAAATAGGATGTGGCTCAAGGAAGCCATTCCTCCCCTGGCCTGCACCCTTTTGCATTCTAGGACCCTTCAGGGGATGTCAGAGAGCTGGTTTTAGCCCAATCCCGAGGTCAGGCTGAGGGCCCCCACTGGTGCATGAATTTGTGCACCAGGCCTCTAGTAAAAATATAAAATACTATAGGCCCAGTGCATGAAATTCATGAACGGTGGGGGCAGGGAGGTCCCTCAGCCCAGACTGCACCCTCTCACAATCTGCGAACCTTCGGGGGATGTCCAACTGTCAGTTTAGGCCCAACCCCTGTGCAATTCAGCCTAAACCAGCAGTTGGACATCCCTCTCACAATCCAGGACCACTGGCTCCTAACCGCTCACCTACTTGCCTGCCTGATCGCCCCTCACCACTTGCCTGCCTGCCTGATCACCCCTAACTGCTTGCCTGCCTTCCTGATCGTCCCTATCCACCTCTGCCTTTGGCCCCTGCACCTGGGACCCTGGCTTCCCTCTTCTGGCTGGCTGCAGGCAACTGGAATCTGGGCTTCCCTCCCTCTGGCCGGCCGCAGTCACCCAGGAGCCCCAGCAGTTTTGTCTGGGCCCAGGCTTTGTCAAGAAGGACATCTGGAATGAAGTCTGGAAGATGTTTGGTCTATCCGGTCTAATT